CTCTCCCCCCCCCCCCCCCCCATCTCATCCTCCTTCATTTGATCAGCCTGGTAATACTGGGTGAAGATTACAAACTACAGAACTTACAGAAATTTGTGTGCAATGTAAAGCATTATGAAACAAATTTAGCCATCAGTTTCAATTGCCAAATTGTCCTAGAATCACTACCAGTAGTGAATCTTGGTCTGTAAGTCAGGTCATACAGAAATGCAATATACCTAAAACCCCCCACCCCCCCACCCAACAATCACAACACACTGCTACTGCTAAGGAATTTTGATGATGGTGGCACAAGGTGGTATTAGAAAAAATTATTTCCCAATTCTGAATCTGAAGGTGAATGAAAGGATGGAAATTAGCATAAAAATTAAATTAAATTCAAGAGACTTTCACATTTAATTATGCAGTCAAGACATCTTGTATTATCAAAAATTGTGTGGTGAAAGAGTAAAATATGTAAAATAATAATACTAGTATGAAAATTAAAGTTGACTAGAGGAAAAATTTAGAATTTCACAAAACTGTTACCATTTAAGATGGCTGTCTTTGGGTTGTAGCGCTGTGTAGTCTGGTAGAAGTTTACCAGTGTTTCAGAAGTCCTTACTATCGATGTCATTCACATTAGTAGTTTCTGAAACAGCTAGCTATACAAGCATATTGGACTGACGTGTGACAAGATATTACCTGAGATCCTGTATTACCTTTAACCTATATCTTAAGGGAATAGGAGATTTAAAACCATTCTACAGGCACAGCAGACAGACATTAATACTGGAGTTAATGGTTTAAGTTTAACGTTACTGCAGTGTAGTCAGCTGGACCACGCATAAACTGTGACACATGCATGAAGAAAGGTTAATGGCACCTGTATGTGTGACTTTTGCATATATTTCTTATATGTTGTTGTTATTATCATTATTATTATTCTCTTCCTTTAGCATAAAGGTAAGTAATATACTGAAGAAATGAATGTTAAAGTTGATTCTTTCTTTGGTGTCCAGTCATTTAAGATAAAACTGGATGATTTATTAAAATATGTCACAGCTGCTGTTCCATTATCCATTATCTTCATAATATAACACATATGATTAAACCAAATAAATACTTTGTACCAATACTGCTTTTGATGAAATGGTATAAAAATGGAAATTCTTTTAAAACCTGACAAGATGTCACGATGAATATAATAATTATGTACTTGTGTCTTATATTATCCTTCTTGCAATGTGAACTGAAAGACAGCTGTATTTTTCCACAATCGCCTGAACAGACAAAATAGGAGTGTATAGAAGAAGATTGATCAGTATCATCAACGGATGTTGACATAAAAATGTTATTTAACTCCTTGAGGAACATGAAGAACATTCACATTTACACTCCAAAAACAATTCTTTTAGAATTTATATGAGTTATTTACACTAACAGCATAAAACAAGTGCATAACATGAAGGTTATATCTGTGTCTACATGCTGAACCAGAAAGGGTCTGTCAAAGAACCATGAGTATCTGTCGGGCTATTTCATCTCTGTAATCACTTTAATGGATTTTGATATTTGTTACTGAGACTTTATACTAATTATTGCTGTGTGAACTTCACTGTGAATTGTGTTGGTCCTATACAATCCCACCTTTACATGAATATAAATAAATAAAATTTTGATAGCTCATTGCCTATACAATCCCACCTTTACATGAATAGAAATAAATAAAATTTTGATAGCTCATTATGCAAAAGATGGTACAACATAAAATGTAGATTTCATGATGATCTACAACTTCTCTTGGATGTTCTTAATATGGTGAGCCTTCAACATACATTATTTATGGATATGGAAGAATATAATGGCATGTTACAATGATAATTTGTATTTAGCTGTGCACGTCAATGTTAGACAAGGAGTTAACATTTTATGTGACTTAACCTTCTACATTCAAGGTTACCAGTATTATATGAACCAGAAATTTATCAGAGCATGACTTCGGAGCTGTATCATACTCTTGCTATATCACATCTTCTATTATGAGTCTGCCTATGTTTGATGAGATTCCCAATACACGAAAAGGTGGCGCCACAAGCTTCACACATGTAAGGACGTATCCCTGTATGAAGAGTGTTATGTGTAACAAGACTTTCCCTATGAGCAAAAGCTTTGTTACACACTTTACAAACAAATGGTTTCTCCCCAGTGTGAGACCTTTCATGTCTCTGCATCTCCACTTTGAGACGGTAGCTCTTGCCACAAAATCGACAGAGGAATGTTTTTTCACCCGTGTGGAGCAATATGTGAGTACCAAGAGAACCACCACTCATAAATGCCTTACCACAGACGTTACACACGTGCCTCGGTTCTGACCCACATCGACTATCTACATGAACTTTGAGATTTCCTTTCTGTTTGAACAATTTTCCACAGATATTACATGCATAAGATTTTGCCTCACGACCAAGATGTTTGTTATTGTAATGATTCTTTAGATTACTTGAGTTTGAGAATGACCGCTGACAATCTGAACAGCTCCACTGCTTTCCATGCTGCTTTGTTCGATGAGATCGGTATTCTCGTTTTGAATTGAAACCATCACCACACTGTCTGCACTTAAAAACACCTGCACCTGTGTGCTGAGATTCATGTTTTATTAAACAGGCTCTATTAGTATACTTTTTACCACAGTGACGACATGGTGTTGCTCCCTTTTCTTCAGATGAGTGACATTTTCTGTGACGATTCAATTGTGACACAAATTCAAAATATTTATTACAATATTGACAAAGGAACTTTCTCGGTACTTCTCCAGAGTTAAGGATTTCCACTTCCTTTAAATGACGTTCCAAACGCTTATATAATGGCTCATCCTCATCTGAGGCTAGATCTGTTCTCTCAGAATCATCTGTGTTTATCTCATTGTATTTATTACTATTATCTGAATGAGACCGAGTATGTTCATTTAACAACTGTTCTTGAGCAAAACCCAAACCACATGAAGCACATGAAAACTGATCTTCAGGAAATTCACTTGTACTTTTAGTAACTGAAGCTGTATCTGATTCTTTACTTCTAACATCACATCTTGCAGGATATTTCTGCTTCCGTTCATGAGGAATTTTCTTCAATGAACTCATTACTCCCGATTTAAACACGGATTTCCCAACATCTTTACCATCTTTCACATCTAATTCAATTTCCTTTTTTACAGTATAATTACAATCTACCAGTACTTTTGAGGTAAATATATCAGTCTGTTCTTGTTCTGATAACGTACTGTCTGAAGAGATGTTAACAGGTGATCCAACAGCTGACAGTTCATCTGTCTCTTGAGATTCAGATTCAAGAATAGAACCAGGCAGATTGTCTTTATGTTTATTATCTGTGTCTTCATATTTCAGGTTACTAATTGAATTTTTTGCTGTAAAGTTATCAGTCATATAAACATCATTTTCACTGGGTATGTCATCACTACTGTGGTTCTCCGGTCCATTAACCAAAGTAGCTGTCTGACATATTCGATTACCACAGACAAAGTTTGATTCATATCCAGACTCCTTCTGGATGGTAATCGTATTCTGACCAACATGATATGATGATTTCACATTATTGTGTTTGAAAGGATCAGTTGTTTCTTTCTGACTATATGAATACTTTTCACGATCTGAAATCTGAATTCTGTTATCATGAGAATACTTTTCTGCGCCATAATTTTGAAGTCTATGATTGTCAGAATTCTGGAAGATGCTGCCAACTGTTGGTTTTCCATTATTAACAATCAATCCATCAGTAGAGCATGTATATGGAAGACTTCTAGTTGCTGACTCAGGCTTTGACTCCTTAGAAATTGCACTATACACTCCAAATGACTGAATGGCATCAGGATGCATTCCCATAATATTGCCACTTCCCCAGTAATAATGTGTACTATAACAAGAAAACACAAATTTACTATAAAACACGCAAATTAAAGTAGTGCTTTAATAGTCACAATATATGAGATTGTGCTGATGGGTCCTTACGCTGGTTCAAATCACAACATGGATATTTTTCATTAGCCGTAAAGATCAAGATTATATCTCAAAATTAACAAACTCCATGGAGCAGACACATTCTTGAAAAGCTAACAGTCACTCAGTCACCCAAGGTGCATCCCAAGTATGCAAGACAAATCATAATAAAGTACAAGATAGGTAACAAATTTATCAAAATTACAGCAATGTTCATATAAAGTTGACTGTCTTCTGGGTTATAGCCATGTGTGGTCTCGTAGAAATGAGAACCTCAAATCCTACAAAGTTCATATATTTCAAAACATGATAGTGAACCTTCAGGTTCCAAAAGGCATGGAATTTAATGACTATCAGCTTATCAAGAAGGACACTGATCTGTGGAGTTGGCAGGTTCCTTTCTTTTCTTTGATAAAGAGTTCCATGCAATGAGATTAGCCACATGACCTAGCTCCATTATCTTACAACATTTTCACTGTAGTTATTTTTATGAGAAATTCATGGTGGACAGTCACACTATTTTACCCTCTCTAATGATCACTGTATAATTAATCTTAATGTAAGACAAAGAAAGTACCTTTTAATATTTTGCTCCATGCTACCAAGATGAAGATCAGCAATTGGATGGAATCTATCATTTATTGCTGGAATTCGCTCAATTGTTTGATCACTGCTACTGAGCATGGGTGAGATCCAGTCACGATTCTCTTCATAATTTGAATTTCTGTAATTATAACAACTACCAGGCAAGAGTGGAGCTTCCTCCTCTGTTACACCATTATTACTAGGTCTCTGCACTCCCAATAACATAGAATTCATTAAGTGTTCGACAGGTGATTTTCTTGCTGTTACATTCTTCTCATGTGTTTGTAACTTCCTGGTAGTGGACTTCACCCTGCACTTACTGGATGTCATGGTAGGAGTTACAAGTGCACATCTGTTACGATGAGTTTTTCTGTGTTTTATGAGGTTCCCGATACATGAGAAGGTGGAGCCACAAGCTTCGCACATATAAGGCCGTATCCCTGTATGAAGAGTGTTGTGTGTAACAAGACTTTCCCTGTGAGCAAAAGCTTTGTTACACACTTTACAAACAAATGGTTTCTCCCCAGTGTGAGACCTTTCATGTCTCTGCATCTCCACTTTTAGACGGAAGTTCTTACCACAGAATCGACAGAGGAAAGTTTTTTCACCTGTATGAAGCAGTGAATGTGTAACAAGTGTTCCACGTGTCATAAAAGCCTTCCCACAAACATTACACACGTGCTGTGGGTCTGTACCACATCGACTTTCTACATGAACTTTGAGATTTACTTTCAGTTTAAATTCTTTATCACAAACATTACAAATAAACACTTCGGTCTCCTTGTTTTCATGCCATTTCATGTGGGAATCAAGTTTATCTTCAGTGGCAAAAGTATGATTGCATATTGCACATTTCCAAGGTTTTTCATGTTTCTCATCACGGTGTTTTGTTCGTTCAGCTTCAGTAGCAAATACATCTCCACAAGGGCGACAACGGAAACTTCCTTTCCCTTCATGCTGAAGCTCATGTTTTGTTAAGCTACCACTTTTGGTATACTTCTTTCCACAGGTATGGCACGATAAAGATTTTTTTACTTTAGATTTGAGCTTATGGCTTTCCATATGGTGTAGCAGCAAAGAATTAAATTTGAATTCTTTCCTGCATATGTGACATGACAGAAATGTTTTCTCTTTATTCTTGTGAATCTTCTGATGTTGTATATAAACTGATTTATACTTACAATCCATGTCACAAGTCTCACAAACATAAGAAACTTTTGTAAGAGCCTCATACTTCTGCACTTCACCTGTTTCTTTCGACTTTTTGTCCAACAAATCACTCATTTCTCTACCCATGTTGGCAGTGTGTAGCTTCATATGATGTCGCAGCAATTGTTTCTGAGTAAAGTACTTGTCACAAAATGTGCAACAATAGTGAGCTTCTTCTACATTCAAATGGTATTTTTTCTCACTTGTTCTGCCATGTTCTGGCTGCACTGATGTTGATAGTGTAGCCAACCTCTGACACCTTCTCTGCAATCTATTTTTACTTGCTTGATGACTGTCTTCCAATATGGCATCTTCAACTGTGGTAGAAACATCTCTGATAGATGAAACATTTTCATAGGTAGAAGTTTCATTTGCACTTTCTTCATAAGTAACACTCAGGAAACTTGTCAGATTGAAACCTGCATTGTCTGCATCAACATCATCTCCGACACCCTTTTGTTGCCTGCCACTATTGCAGACTGATGTCATGTTCTATAAGGGCCCCATTGGAAGCCTTAAGTATTCCATATTACTACATTCTTTTGAGAACATTGTGTATAGGGAGAAAAAGAAATTTATGAGATGGAAATACCCACTGTGTTTGGCTGAAAGATGAAAATGCAATATAAGATTTTAAGCTTTCGTGGTGACTGGATGCAATGAAGTCTTCTCATCCAATCAGCTGTGTCAGCAAGGAATGAGTTTCTGTCTTCATCATTAAATATTAGTAGGATGAGTGACGGCAGTTCACTGTATATATACACATTATGGGTCCGAGCTTCTTAGCTCTGCCGGATGAAATACGGAGAGAGAAGAGGTGTGATAAGGAAACGTGACAGGGTCAATCAGTTGGCCATTGCTTATCTGGTGTATGAAACTATTATCTACCTTGATTTTAATAGGTTGTGTGGGAATGAATAACATACAAAATTCAAAAGTACTGAACATTCAGCCTGTATATATAATAAACATCTCATCATTCACCTTGTCCAATATTAATGATGAAGGCAGAGAGTCTACAAAACACTGGAAACTCATTCCATATTGACTGACACAGCTGATTATGTGAAAATATTTCATTTCATAAAAACACAAATTAAATAGTGTCCATTTCATGAAGATGTTAGCCTAGATAAGCACATACAAAATTAAATGTATGCTAATGCTGTAGAAAATTATAATACATGAATTGTGAATTGAAATTAATGAAACATTCATGCATAATGGTGCAAAACCTGTTGTTTAAAAACTGCTGTACACGACAACACAGTAATTCTAATATTCTAACCTAACATTTCATACATGGAAATTTGCAGGTTATGTTGACGCATAAACCTCAACAGAATATGCTACTCACACCTTTACTATCATAAACATATTAGAATGAAGAAGCTCATTCAACCAAAGTAAAGATAATTTAACTGAAGCCCCATAACTAAGTGTGTACCTGCAAAATTATGGAATTTACATCTATCTTTGTCTTCCGGTATTTCTACTTTTCTGTGCAAAGCAAAATCATGTCGTTTTGTATGCCTACAACTTTCGTTTATTTATTTAATCAAAGCAAGTACACAAATCTTCAACACCAAAGAATAATAATTTTACTTTTAGGTTTGGTTTAGGCTATGATAAAAAATCAATTTCATATAAACAAAACATGGTGTGCACACTGAGCCATCTTTACAGCCGTACTATAACTACGTCGATGTTTTCGATGGTCTCTTCGGTCCTATTGACACATATGGTCCAAATGTTTTACACGTTTGTTGTTAAATAAGAATCCAATGTTGGGTGGAACTGTAAGGTAGTAAAAATGCCACTTTCTTATATTAATGTGCATGACAACTTAATTTATTTTTATAAATTTAGCCTTTCAAGTAATTTATATTAACCGTACTGCATCTGAAATTACAAAGCTGTCAGAGGTTAATTTTATACAAGGAATCACAGCCTGAGTTTGGCATCAGGTCATATTGCAACTGGTGCTGGTTAGTCTGGCTTACTTAATTATCTCTTATGTAAGTTTTGGAGGACCTCATATTTAAGGCTGATTTTTATTTGATATCATCAAATGTGGTTGATTTCTCATTCAGCAGTTTTCTTTGTGAGATCATATAGTTCTGCTTGTCTTAGGCCACTCACATAGTTCTGTAACCAGAGTCTGTAACAGACATTGCGGGCACTTGATTATTATGAGTTTTTTTTACTATTCATGCCACCATTATCTTGCATGTTATCACATTGACACTGAACAGCATTAACTCTTGCCTAGACAGTAAGGTATTGTGAAATAACATTCATTTGTGCTGGCAGAATTTTCTTACTTTTTTCCAGATTCCACAACTGTATGTAAGATGCAACCAAAAAATCACATACAGACTACTTAACTTATTTTGGCAGAATTTATTATATTTGTTATAGGTACCATGTCATTGTATGAGAAGATGTATCCATCAAATCATAAAACAGTGTTTGTTTTGGATCACACTCCATACTTTGGTATATCATGCGAATGTCTCATTGAATTTGATTTTACCAAATCTCGAGGTCCAGCATTCATACCCCTAGCACCAATTTCAAAGTCTCTTTGGACATGTAGTGTTGAAGCAGCCATCGAGTACTGTCGGATTGTTTGGGATTTGTTTCCACAAGGAAAACTGGTAAGAGATGAAAATGATTTGAAATTATATATATCTCATTTTCATTACAGAACTAAAACTATACAAGTTAAAATAATTTTTAAATTGAAATCAGTTCATTCATTCAGTTTAAGTTTGGCATCATTGTCTCCTTGTGAATACTGTTACATTTAAACAAAAGCAGGAATATATGTAACCATTACATGTCTACTGTCTGTATCTATTTGTTCTATACTGAGTGTTGCCTGGACCGTTGTCAGACTAACATCGCTAGTGGCCATTCATATGGTTATGTTGCAAGGAGTTAATGAGTGGGGCAAGGCAAGTGGATCCTCTCAACAGAGCAACTGGGAATGGGTGGGGAATGCCTCCTGTAACATAACCGTGCATACAGTCAGTAACTAAGAATGTATTTTAGAAATTTTTGTTCTTGTTTGATTTATCATATAGATTCGATTTGTTGTAAGTGATACAACAGCACACATCTTAAACACGTGGAGTCCGTCTCATCAGAACTTATCGCATGTAAGTTATTCCACATTTTATGTATTAACCTGTTTTCAATCTTCTACTTTCTTTGAAAATGTTTATGTGCTGAAAAATGTTATATTACTGAATTAAATTCAAATGAATAACCAAGGGAATATATTATACGTCTTTTGTTATGCTGAGTATTTACACCTTAAATGTTTGTTTAACACAGGGGTAGAGAGTGTATGTTAACTATTTTTTTTCTTTGTTAGCCAGACTAACATTTTGAAAACAAAAAAATAAAGTCTTCTTCCTTGCTTTCTTCGTTCAGTGGTACTCCATACACTGGAGTACAGCATAACCAATCAGATAAAATACATAATTAGTCAGCTCTTGGCAGCCAGGCATTTTTAGCCAGTTAATTGAGGCTTTCACTTGGCACATGGCTGGCTGGAGCTAACTAAAAATGCATTTTATTTTATTTGATATGGAAATGTTATATATTCTGCTATAACATGTTTCAG